TATATATATTTTGCTAACTCAATTATAAGTTCATGAAAAACATATTTGCGAAAAATATAAAAAAATGCGATATACCGAATTTATAAAAATATATTTTAACCAAATGGAATTATTTATTTAAAACATCTTTCTTTAGTTCTCGTTTTCTCTCTTCTCTCTCTCTCTCTCTCTCTCTCTCTCTCTTTCTATTAATCTTTTCATAATTTTCTAACGCTTAATTAATAACTTAATTAATAACTTTATTTAAAGTCCTCTTAATATAAAAATAAAATGAAATCTACTGAAATTTCAGTAGATTTATGTTACGTAAAGTAACGCACAGATTTACGGCGGAATTTCAATGGAATAATCTATCTTAACCGCGCCAGCTAAGAGCACTTCTCTCGTAAGTGCAGTTTACGTGATCGTGCGATTGTACGAAGAGAAAAGAGAGAAGTGGAGTCGAGCGATAGCATAGACTTGTAGATTGGCTGGATTTCTTACTAGCTATTAATCACTTCATCAATTAAGCAACAATATTATCTTTCAATACATTAAAATTTTTTATCTAAACATTACATGCTTATCTATCGATCCAATTTTTTATGTCTTAAATGTATTGTGCGCTAATAGCTCATAAATAAATTCAGACTAATTGCAGACGAACTGTATAAGTCATAAATCTTGTCCAGATGAATTAAAGACGAAGTCCCATGTAAATGTTCTTTGTACTTCTTCTTTCGTAATATTGCGCCCGCGTGCATAAGAGACACACATCAGCGCGTTCTAAAAATAATATTCTCTTTTAGATAGTGGCCTTTCTTCGTTGTACAATAGCTTCCTCTTCTTATAAATCACCCAGGAAAACGTCGGCCAGTTTCTTCCGAACGGGAGATAAATTTGAGAACGGAAGGGCCGACTCTCTTTTTCCTCGTCCAATAAGCGGAGCGCGCGGGTTGCGTAAATGCACATGTGAGAAACTAAGAAAGAGAGAGAGAGAGACAGAGAGAGAGAGAGAGAGAGAGAGAGAGAGAGAGAGAGAGA